CAAAACAAAAGCATGCCTTCCAAGCAGTCCAACACATACTCTGATCTTGGAGTGTGTGTTCTTCTTTGCACCTGTGAAGGGGAGAAAAGAGAAGAAATAATAAAGAGAACAGACAGGGGGAAGGTGAGGTTGGAGCAAAGGTTTGCTCCTGAAGAGAAATGGTTTATGACAGAGAAACTGATATTAATAAAAATGCATAGCAGAAATTTCTCATTAACACATCTATTTGTTTATCTATGTGCTCATTTATCTATTAAAAATCCAATACATGATTGATAACTTACTCTGCTTGAAAGAGCTGTTGACTAACATACATGTCTATGTAAATGTTTCCAGAATCACAACGATATATGGAAAATATGTTTTTTATTGTGAATAGTTAAATGTTCTGTTAAAAATTGCAGAATGCAAATCCTCATTAAGTTGACAACTCAGTGTAAAAGTCAAAGAAAAACAATATATTTCTGCCAGGCATGTAGTGGTTCTAGGAGAGGAACTTTTTAGTGAACAGAATTGAAGTCATGAAAAGCTTTTATTTGACCTTTGCCATGAATCTGCCAGTGTACAGCCAATTTTCCAACTCAACAATGTGCATCTACAGGGATAGCCACAATTGACAGATATTGTCTTTTGGTCTGGATGTTGGGCACGATGGTGTCTTCCATCATAGCTATTGAATAGCCCAGAAGATATTTGTGGGCCTTAATGGTCAAAAGCAACGCAGTTGGCTGTCTTGGTATATAATAAGCTGAATTGTGGGCAGCATAAAAAGTATTTATTGACATTTTTTTCAATTTTCGTTTTGGATAGAGTGATGAGGGGCTAGAACATCTGTCAGTTTTTATTTCTGTTGATGTCCCTGCTGCCAGCACCAGAAAAGGAATATGGGGTAAATTCTTCTAATGGGTACAGCTTTTTAAGTGGATATTTCTTCCACTTTAAAGAGGTTTACTTTAAGTTTCTGTTGTGTCTAAAAAAACTGGAAGTGAAGGAAAATCTTCCCAATGGGCCACAAATGGCAAAAGATGACAGGGGTTTTAACTATTCCTTACTCTATCCAAAATAAAAAAAAACATGGCTTTAGATATACTTTAAGCTTTCTTTAGTCTTAAATGGTTGATAACAAACAAACTGCATGGAAAAACTAACAGTGGTAAATACTTAACATTGTTAATAAATATAGAGGCGTTTGCATTCATATTAGTCTGTATTATAGGGTTATGGTTTGTTTTTATGTTATTGTTCAATGTAATTTTAGCTGCTCTGTATTCCACAGGAAATTATGTGCATGTTAAAATGTTGTGATGGCATATTACCTAGATGTATATGTTTCATTTTCTTGCATCTTATATGTTACCACCTACATAATAATTCATACCATAATAACAATACTTTTAATTTCTTAAGTGCATTAGCTGTATCCTATTGTAGGCACATACTATGTGCATAGAAAATTGTTACATGTACAGAGTAAAAACAAAACAATGAAAATTGCTCAGTAACATTCGTTCTTTGAATATTTTAGTGCCTTTGGAGGTACGATCATTTATCTTCCAATTGAAAAACAGGGTGATCTGTCAAGGTCTTTATCCTGGGCTCTGAAATGTCAATACATAGTAGGAAGTGAAGCTCCTGTGATGGATTTTTATATTTTGAAAAAAATCTTATTTTTAATATTTGCCACATTATTATGGATGTAACATCAATTCATATATTTTAAAGTCTTATCAAATAAAAAAGAATAAAAAAAATAAAAATAAATTAAATTTTCAACTTAACATATCTACATGTATTTAGACCAGTTTATATACCAATGTTCCAGTAATATATACCAGTTTATATTATCTATTGTTTCAACAATCATGTATTTTTCCATTATATATTTTGACAAGCTTTTTCTTTACAATATACTCCATTCTAGGGAATCATATTCTTTCATACAAATAATTCCACAAAGCTTTCAAATCATAATCAGCTTTATCCAATAAGGAATTTTCATTCTTAAATGATAAACCTTAGGTTTCATAACCTAAAGCAACTTACTTTCTTGGAGCTAGACCAGTAAAATATATATTATATTAGGGTTGCTATGGGTTTCTGCCCTTATGAATAGTTGCTAAGGTTATTTTTTTTCATTTTGGATAGCATGGGTGATGGCAAGAACCACTCTTGGATTTTTTTGCATTCCCATTTGGGAGATGAACCCTCACTTTATGTCCTGGTGACCATTGTCAATAGAACTTAAAGTAGGGATCAATAGAAAGTGTTACAGTTGTCACCAAGTCACAATATCTTTCAATGGGACACCTGTTCAGGTTACCTTTAATGAATAAGAACTCTTTTTTGAGTAAGGCTGTATTTGTCATATCAGTGTTTTTTGATTTGAATAATTGCAGAGTCATTAATTAGAATCCATTAGCACCAACAATATTGTATCTGTTTTCATTCTCTAATCTATGTTTCACTTGGTCAAAGTTGACCCTACTCAATAGAGTGCTTGTGTGTATGTGCTAATTCTTCAGCACAAATAGAAAAAAAACACAATTGATCAGAATTCACTCTGCTGAAGTCAGACCCATTGAAGATAGACTCTGGTTACTTTGGGTTACTTCACTCAATAATACATTTGGTTACTGCAGTCTAGAACTATTATGCAAAATGTAAACGCTCTTTATCATTAGGAATATTATTAGAAACACTTGAGAACTGTTTGTTTGTTTAATTGCATTGATTTATGGTCTCTAAAGTATTCTGTTACCCAAATTGCTTTATTGTACTAATTTAGCCCATGATTTAATTCACCAGGACCAACATCTCACCATCAGCTCTGGGTGCCATAGGCTTGCCCATACATTTCCTCTTCAATCTTCAGCCCTACAAAAGTGATAATTTAATGCCATCTCTGTTGTGGATGTAATCTGGACTTGGAATCATTTGAGTGAAGTTTTGTATGCACATATTTTTAAAAAATATTCTCACCTTCTTTGGATTTTTATGAAGATATGGAGTTCAACTGATAGTGTTATCTTGGCAAGAACTGCAGGATTTTTATGTGTTTCCATTTTATCTTTAGATGAATTGTTCCTTGTAAAACTCTGAAACTTTTGTGAATGCCCTTTTGTTTAGTATTTTACTATTTTTGTAATTGCACTGCACAGAGATCTTCTTTCTCTTTTACTTGGTGGTGTTTGTACTTGCTAATTGGTATATAAGATGATTATTATTATTATTATTATTATTATGAATATTATCAGATGTGCTCATGTAATTTCCATCAAAAATAATAAAATATTTAAAAACATAATGCTGAGTAATCCTTGTCTCTTACACAAATGTGTATTTCAAAGAATCTGTAACCATTTCAAAATAAGTAATTGTAACAGTTTAAACAAATATTGGCTTCACTACAAAATGATGACTTTATTTTGATCCATTTACAACATGTTTCTCCCACAGCTTTTTCATGTCTTAAGCATCTTTAACCCCTATACTATTACATAATTGCCATCCTACAATATAAGTGTTGGTCTGTATATTCTGCCTGTATGTATTTTCACTGGTCATTGTGCAATGACAAAGAATTCCCAATAAGAATTTCATTGAATAGTTAAACAGGCAGGATGCGCAAGCAGGTGCATGATTTCCTAATTTTACTAATAACAATAAAAATGTGAAGGGCCATCTCGCAGTACTACACATCCTTGCTCAAAACAACAATATGCAGTCACCAAGAACCACAGTTGATGTCTTAGACCCATATAAATGTTAATTTCCAAGCTTTTACTACTACTATCACAGTCATATCATAATCCCAGTAAATACATATATATAAGAAATAGCTTTTTATTTATGAACTTCATATAATTTAGCGTACGCTTTTGAAAATACAGCAGGAGGATAAATTTGCTAAAGCATAATGACAAGCAACATTTCCAGTCTTTCCTGTAATCCTCAGACATACTATAGACCTCGCATATCTGAATTTAATGTAAAACACCAAGCAGCCACTGCTGGACTATTTTATTGTTAATGTTTTATGCTTTGCCTTTTAGGCCCTGATTTAATGTTACATCTTTACCTTGTATACATCCACAGGAATTCTATTAGCGAGTGTTAACCAGAAATTAAATGTGTGCATTCTTTTCCTCCAGCAATATCTTTGTGTTGTAGTTATTCTCCATGGAGGAATGTGCCCTTGTGTTATGTTTGATAATGTGTATTTCATCATATATAAGAAAATGGAAGGGGCCATATATTACCTTTTTACATTTGTCATACATTGCTTTCTACATGATTGGATTATTGGAGTGAACCTTCACACTTTATTGTATGAACATTCTCAAATCCATTAGTAAATCGGCCTCAAAATTATCTGTTCAGTTACACAACAGTATAAGCCTATTTTTACTTATCATATTAGGGACATATTTTAAAGCAGTGAATGTAATTTAAAACACATACGCCAGTAAGGGACACCTACAGTGAATGTTTGGTGGATTTAACATTCAACACTTTAATAAAAATACTTTTCCCTTAATGTCTAACTTGCATGGCAATTTGCTGTACGTACATAAAATTCACAAACCACATTTTGCATTAGACTAGTTTTGTATTTTATTCTATTTCTTTGTTTTCTACATATTTTAAGGTGTTTGCATCTGTACTGTAATAGAAGCATACGTGAGATAATTTAATTTACAGTTGTTTCTTGTGTACACTTAGTGCAGACATTCATGTGCTGAAACCAGATATCATATTTTTTTCCAGAAGCTTGTACACTCATTAATAATGGATTTCAGCATAGTTTATTGTACTGTTTAAAATAACTGTGGCTTCCAAGAAATGTTTTAATGTTTGTCCGTGTAGTGTTTCTGTTTGACAATAAGAAATGTAATGTAGTTTAGCTGTGAAAACAATGTTTCAGTGTAAGTCATTTCATGTTTTATTTGTGCAGTTTAAGTGGTAATATTAATTGCCATATTTGTCTTTGTTTTGCAGTCATGTACTGTACAGACCCCGGAGAGGTAGAGCATTCCACTCGTCTTATCTCAGACCCAGTCCTTCTCGTGGGCACTACCATCCAGTATACTTGTGACACAGGCTTTGTGCTTGAAGGAAGCTCTCTTCTGACCTGCTACAGCAGGGAGACAGGAACCCCAATCTGGACATCCAAAATCCCCCACTGTGTTTGTAAGCAAATCATATATTGTCTTGGGAATGGCTCTCGGTGACTGTACAGCCAGGGGTTAGTGCTCTTTCAGGATTCCTAGGTCATATCATTGGATTTATTGGTCCTGGTCTTCAATCTGACCATCACAAAGGAACAGACTGACCCAGCAATATGTAGCTCATTAGCCAAAGATTGCCACCAGGCATAGTAATGTTCATATTTTTTTTCTTGCCTAATTTAAATCCAAATAAGCTTGTAACATTTCTCTATCTGGTATCTTTGTGAGACAGCATATAAATTCCAGCAAGAATAATAAAAGGTTACCTTCTTTTGGCCTGTGAGTGACTACCTTTTCCAGCCTAAATGGTGCTGTAAATCAGGTATTTAAAACTTGTGGGGTTTTTTGGACCCTCTCTCTCCTTCGTTGGGGTCTTTGGTGGTTTAGGAATTTAAATGAATGAATTAATAAGATGCCAGCTTTTCTCCAACTGATAAAAAACAAATTTCCCTGTGTAATTTTGCACATAAATATTTTGAGCTACACTTTAGCTATTCAAAACTGCCAAAAGCAAGGCAAGCCTGTAAAAGAAGACTGTGAATATTTACCTTTACTTCTGTGTTGTGGATTGCACATCCATTCATGAGAACTCACCCCCTCTGCCGCCCTGTATCCACAGGGAAGCTAAAACTTTCAGGAGAGTGATCCCCTGAGTCACCCACAGTTCTCAATGAATCCTCCTGTTTACCTCCTTATCACCATGGGAGCTTCCTTGCAGACTTTGGAGGACAGTTTTTAAAGAACCAAGTGACATTCTGCAGCACAGGCAGGAAAGATAAGTATTTAAAGTCTTCTTTTACAGGTATTCCTTGCCTTGGGGAGTTTTGTATAATGACAGGGTTGCTTTCAGGAAATGTTATAAGGGTCCCTTCTCTGGGAAAACACATTGTAAGTTGTAGTCATTTCTGTAATACTAATAACACTAAAGTGTGACCCTCAGTAGATATATTGTGGCCACTTTGAAGATTTATTCTACTCAGGAATGGTGCTTAAAACTGTATAAAAAGAATTGCTTCCATGAAGTCCACTAGGGTTATTCAAATTTGAATCAACCAATCACCATCCAAGTGAAAATTTTTAGTTTTGGGTACATTTACCATCTGCAATTCTTCTTCTGAAATTCTAAACTTGATTCTTATTTCTAGTTTTGCAAGCAAAATAAACAAACATTTTTCAAGTAATAATAAAAACAATTATCTGTATGTAAATCAATATGTTAACAAGCAATGATCCATTCTTTTTTCATATAGACAAGCTTCACTGAGAGCAGAAATTACATTTTCTAGAAAGAACTTCTGTTTTTGTGAAGTGTAACAGTTGCTGAATAAACACTAAATTGTGCTAGAAAGGCATTAAAACATGTCTGCCAAATGAGGAAAGTTATTTGAACAGTTAAGAGTATAATGCAGGTGATACCCAGGTCATGTGATAATTCTGTTAGTCACCGGCTTCACAAATTAGATTTTCTAATCCTTACTTGGTCAGTTGATACAAATTCCAAAAATCGCATATTTTTTTAGAACTAAAAGTTTCCATTTATAGTTCCCTATGGCCGAGAAGTAAAATTTTAGTACATTTAGCTGGATAAGGAGGGATGGCTGGCACTACATAAACCTTTAATTTTGATTGGGCAAGAGAAAGCAACATTTTAAGCAAATGATGCTGAAATGAGCCAAGTACACTAATTAGCTAATATAAATCCATCCCGAGATATAAGTTGCTTCAAAGGCATAGTCAATCCAAAAGTGATGTTTTCATTGCCTACAATGTGACCTATCACATCTAGTGGACTAATTCTTTAAATTGTAGGTGGGGTGTAGTGGGTGAATTCATTTAATGTCTTACTAACTTCGTGGTTTTGGTGTTTCTGTGCACCATGAGTTGTTTTCACTCTTTTCGTTGCACTCTTCATAACATAATATACATTAAAATCCAACAGTGAGCACAGGAGTCCCTCATAGTGGTCGAGCAGATGTAGAAGTTGAGAATGCAGGTACAAATTATGATCTCACCTGAGTCCCTGAGATATAAAATAATCTGTCATTTGATTATTCGTCTACCATCTGCCAGAAATAAAAACAGTCTAAAATGTCTAAAGTTACATTTAGAGTTACAGAGGGTAAACATATATAATTAGAGATAGCAGAGGCTCACCAGCATATGGAACCCAGTCGACAATGTTTGTGTATTTTATATACAAGTGTCTATATTTTGCTCTGTGACAGGACTGGGGAAACCAGGCCGTGTTCCATGTAACAAATACATACCTAATGGATTAAGCTAGAGAAAAGCATGGACTATGCATCTATTGCTTGGACCAGCAGCACAGGGATTTGTCCTGTAATGTGGAAGATTTTTCGAAGCTTGTTCAAACCCATTTCTTGAAGAAGGTGCTTAAACAAGCTACAATACATCTTCAACATTATAGATTATGACCAGTTGAATGTGTCTAACTACTATTAGATACATCATGACCTGGATATATGAGAAAGTTCAAAGTTCACAACAGTGGGTCACTATTCCTCCCAATGACAAAAAATGATGGGGCACAAATCTTCCCACTGACACCAATGATGGGTCAGTGTTTTCTCCCACTGACACTGGGACATATTCTACTCCCCTAAACTCTGAAGGACAGCAAACTGGTCCTTTGTTTAGAATGTTTGGAGACCCCTGATTTAGGGCATTGTTCTTGAAATAGTGCTAAATTGACTAACTTGGTATGCATTGACTGCTTAGAATGTACCTTTACTATTTTTGAATATGAATTATAAAACAGGTGTAAATTAATATCAATCACGCAATCAGTTCCTACTATCATAGTCTGAAGTGAATAGTGCTGTTCATCACGATGTACAAATTCAAAGTGTGTGCTCTCTTTGAGCCTGAAATAATGATCAGAAAGTGAAATGTTTGTTTGGAGGGGACCCGCCAACATTTAGCCTCCATCATATCAGCAGATCTATTGAATGCATTGATTACAGCTGTCACAATATGTTTACTGCATCAAAGAGATAGCCAAGAAATCAATACAAGGAAACACCCATATAATTAAATACTGAATCTGTGTCAAAATGTCAACAAATTTGACTCTTTCTTTTGTCCTTGTAATTTACTGTCTCATTTATTATGTCTGTTTTGGGAGTTAAAATGTTTTGCGATTGTACTGCAGTTTTTGTAAGAATGCTAGTTGTTCAAACACCAAATGTCTCCATCTACAGATTAAAAGTGGTATTCCCTATTTATGGTACTAATGAATTAAAACAACTTTTAAATGAGGTTTGACTATGGGAACAAACTATTGTTAATGTACAAGGGTACATTTTAGGTGATGATGTAAGAATATAATATATTACATATTTATTTATACACAAAAGAACACAGCAGTAAACTATTAGGTTATGCATACTAACTTTGTTTTTAAATATGTACCCATAAATACTATGCAATACAATAGCAGTGCCAGGATCACCCCACAATTCATGCAACCAAGGTGTGAGTGCCAGTGAGAGGCTTTTAAAGATGCAAAAACTTTAAATGTGGAGCTTTTAAGAGTATTACAGCCAAATTCCTGAATTAAAAAGTAGAAAGTGTCAAAATTACCATATGCAAAGTATGCTTATTATTATTGTTAAATACTACTATAGTGCATAGTCCATAACCATAGTTACTATCTGGCATTCAATATACATTATATAAACATAGGTACAGAAATGGTGCGCTATGTCTGCATCTTTTAATGTTCCTTACCATTTACTTCAATTTATTTTGATATATACTGTAAATATATATATTTTGTGAATATAATTTTTTACATTTAACAGTGTACCAAAACAAGTTTATACAAATATATTGACACAAGCATACCAATCTTCAATATAATTTTTTTTCTCTTTATGAAATCATTTATAAAAATACAAATTAGAGACTGTTTTGACAGGCTTTGGACTTGTTGATTTCATGTTGATATCAGTTTGACATCAATTTATAACACATATGAGATCATTTAAAATGCATTGACAAGTGCATTTGATTTTCAGTTGACCTCCTTCAGACCTGCATTTCACCTTTTTCAAGTGGGTTTTGCGTTCACATAGACCAGTATGGGTAAAAATTGAAATGAGCAAACCTCCATCATCTGACCTTATACAGAATGCATTTATGACACACAGATTAGAAAGCATGCTGGAATTTCTAATAAAATAGTCCTTCCATATGTCCTATGAATTCCTGTGTATTTAAACAGCTGTTGGTTGTTCCATGTTTTCTAGCTGAAGAATCCCTTGCATGTGACAATCCTGGTCTACCAGAAAATGGCTACCAAATTCTCTACAAAAGACTCTATCTACCTGGAGAATCACTCACTTTTATGTGCTATGAGGGCTTTGAATTGATGGGAGAAGTCACTATTAAGTGCATTCTGGGTCAGCCTTCTCAGTGGAGTGGACCTCTTCCAATATGTAAAGGTACTTGGCAACTGCATGTTTTCTAGCTGCCCTATTTTCAATCCATTATGCTGACCATACAAACAATAGGTTAGATTTTATTAAAGGAATAGTGACAAGTGCAAAGTCAAAGTTAACTGAGCTCAGGTAAAATCTGGACCTACTTTTTGCATGACTGGATGAATAAAGGGAACAAAGCTTTGCCTCTATCTAGCTCAATGAATATTTCAGAAGTTCAGCAATTTAGTGTCTTTCAACAATTTAAATCAGCTTTTGAATGCAACAATTGAACAGGCCAATGAAACCTACCATGAAAACTGTCTATTGAAACTGAGAAATGATTGAAACAATTGATCTTAGATTATCCTGACCCATTTTTGCTATCAAGAGTGTTGAAAATGGTTTAAATTGCCATGTGTATGGCCAGCATTGGTTTCCTCTGTCCTGTGTCTCTAAGAGTGCAAGGCCATAAAGTACAGAAAAGTCACTTAAAATGCTTTCTTTGCTAAAGGATGTTATTTTGTGCCCTTCTAGCATCAAAGGGGTTTCATTAGATTTAGCTTACATTTACCCAGCAGTGAAAGGAAGCATTTAAAGAATAATCCTATAAATCATGTTATGTCACAGAACTGTGAAATAAAAAGTCATACTGAAAAGTCCTTCTTCTAGACCTTAACTCTTAACGTTTTTTGTCAGAAAACTTACCAGTTGATATCCTTACAAGTAAATGTTCTCAAAATCAAGTTATTCTTTATCCTGAGTTGGCCCTTGTAAGCAGATGGTCTATTCAGCCTTCAATGCGTTCCATGTCACCCAGCAGAGACATTAAAAGAGAGAGAATATCTACTAGGTTACACAAAACAAATGCTTCTACAGTTAAAAGAGTTGTATGACTTGTTATCCAACAGTGTCTGCCTTATGGTATAAAGCAGCTGACATAATCTGAGTTTCTGATTGTAGCAGCTTGAATGGTTATATTATGTGTTAAGATTATTACAAGAGATGTCATTTTTCTGAATCAATCTGTCAATCATTTTACCTACTTATTTTAAAGGTTAAAGCATATCTATGGTTAAAATTTAAACCTATTAATTCAGCATAAGAACCATGAATATAATATCACTACTTCTGGTACCCACAGCCCCCATAAAGATCATAAGATCATAGCAAAACCACTCTACTCTGGAACCAGGATTTTTCAATTGTACCAATAACAAATCAAAAACTTCCATAAAACCTTATTTTTTATATTGTACAAAATATTACATTAAAAATGTCTCAGACAAATTAATAAAACAAATACATAAATAGAAAAACCCTGTAAGCTCAACACCATGTCAATTGTCATGTAATTCCACCTAGTAAACTGTGTATATGTCTAAAACACTATAAGATGGGATGGTCCTTGAGCCTTAAATATCTAAAGCATTTCATTGAACTTTCGATCAACTTCATCGGGAGTATTCATCCCTGCAATATATACACACACATTTTTATATTTCCAACATTTACACAAAATACACTGTATTGCCAAAAGTATTGGGATGCCTGCCTTTACATGCACATGAGCTTTAATGGCATCCCAGTCTTAGTCCGTAGGGTTCAATACTGAGCTGGCCCACCCTTTGCAGCAATAACAGTTTAAACTCTTCTAGGAAGGCTGTCCACAAGGTTTAGGAGTGTGTCTATGGGAATGTTTGATCATTCTTCCAGAAGCGCAATTTGTGAGGTCAGGCACTGATGTTGGACGAGAAGGCCTGGCTCGCAGTCTCCACTCTAATTCATCCCAAAGGTGTCTATCAGGTTGAGGTCAGGACTCTGTGCAGGCCAGTCAAGTTCCTCCATCCCAAACTTGCTCATTCATATCTTTATGGAGTTTGCTTTATGCACTGGTGTGCAGTCATGTTGGAACAGGAAGGGTCCATCCCCAAACTGTTTCCACAAAGTTGAGAGAATGAAATTGTCCAAAGTGTCTTGGTATGCTGATGCCTTAAGAGTTCCCTTCACTGGAAAAAAAGGGCCAAGCTCAACCCCTGAAAAACAACCCCACACCATAATCCCCCATCCACCAAACTTTACACTTGGCACAATGTAGTCAGGTCAGGACCATTCTCCTGGCAACCACCAAACCCAGACATGTCCATTGGATTGCCAGACAAAGAAGTGTGATTCGTCACTGCATCCAAAGCTTTGCATTGCACTTAGTGATGTAAGGCATGAATGCAGCTGCTCAGCTACAGAAACCCATTCCATGAAGCTCTCTATGCGCTGTTGTGCTAATCTGAAAGCCACATGAAGTTTGGAGGTGTTTAGCAATTGACTCTGCAGACAGTTGGTGACTTCTGCGCACTGTGCGCTTCAGCATGTGCTGACCCCGCTCTGTCATTTTACCTGGTTGCTGTTGCTGTTGTTCCCAGTTGCTTCCACTTTGTTGTAATACCACTAACAGTTGACTATGGAATATTTAGTAGCAAGGAAATTTCACAGATGGACTTATTGCACAGGTGGCAACCTATCATGGTACCAATTTTGCATTCACTGAGATCCTGAGAGCAACCCATTCTTTCACAAATGTTTGTAGAAGCAGTCTCCATGCCTAGGAGCTTGATTTTATACACCTCTGGCCATGGAGGTGATTGGAACACCTGAATCCAATGATTTGGAAGGGTGTCCCTATACTTTGGCAATATAGTGTATTTCACATTGATGTGTATCCATATTATAACCTTACAACAATTGTTATTTTTTTTTATCATAGTGTAATGTACTTACAAAATACAACTTTTCATTATTTTCAGAGCAGTGTGTGAGCGGTATCAAATACCATATGTCCACCTCAAAAGGCTTGGCAAAAAAGTGGCAACCACCCTAACCTATAACTGCCTTTGCTGCAAGGTGCACTTGAAAAGACAATGTAGATCACAAACAAGCAAAGGATTTCCCAGCACACTTACCAATCACCCTGCAAAGCAACCCTGTCTAACAGTTTACGTTAAAAACAGAGGGTTTTGTTTGCACACAATTGCAAATTAATGCATAAGCCGCACTGCCCACATGAAGGGACCTCTGTATATACTGTGGTCCTAACTCTAAATTTCCATAGCCTCCATGGTAGGAGGAGGATATATGAATGGATAGATTAAGGGCAGGTATGCCTGAAAGGAGTCCATCCCTCCTTAAAGGCACAGGGATGCATGTGACGCCCAGCAAAACCACAATGGCAGTGAAGGCATTCAGTGTGCCCCTGCACCCAATTCGTCCAACTCTACAAAAGAGTAGCAACCAACCCAACCTATAACTGGCCTTTGCAGCAAGGTGCACATGGAAGGGCAATGTACATCACAAACAAATGCTTTACCAGCACACTTACCAGCCAACCTTGGTAGGGAAGGTGAAAAAGCACCCTATGGAATGTAATGAGCATGAACAACATTTAAGTCCTACTCCAAAAATGCCAATCCTCAAAAAAGCTAAATCAATAAGTTATTTGATATACTAGACAACACAAACATTTATGGGAAGTCTTGAATGATTTTGGTATTTAAATGAGGATGGACCCAATGGTGGCTGTTCATGTGATGGAAACACCAGGAATAGTTTTTTGAAAAAAAGCCACATATAATTAAGATAAGGTAGTGAAGAAACACTATTCTGGATTAAAACAGGATGATCCATGTAAGAGATTCGGCACATTCAGATGCGAGTAGTGTAAGTATTGTAAATATACCAATACTTCCACACAGATTGCTTTACCTAACAGGGGCTTAATAATGTGTAATTATTTTATTATATGGCAACTGATGTGGAGATAAATCCAGGGGCTATTTGTACAATAAAAGCTCAGGTTTTATAGAAGTTTTTGATGCGTTATTGGTGCAATTTCCAAGCTCTATAACAAAAAAAGAGTGGTTAAATGTAAAATCATATATTCATTTCTGCATTGTATTTTAATTATTTTTTAGCCTAATTTTATTCATCTGAATGATCTTCAAGTTTTTAAACGTACATTGAGAAGATCCCCACACATTTACTTCTCTGAATTCTGTGACACATATTCACTATGTCCTGAGAGTAGGCACTGCTGTGTTACACATTCCAGAGAGCCTGCCTTGTGATCTACAGAGGTGCTCATAGGAGGAGGTTCAGGAGCAGAGTATGTACAGGAATCATTACTTACAGGAAGCAATGCCACATATCAGTGCCTACCAGTGCACATCAATGCCACATATCAGTGCCCATCTGAGCTGCCTTTCAGTGTCATCCATCAGTGGCAGTCAGTGCCACCTATCAATGCCAGTCAGTGCCACCTATCAGTGCTGCCAATCAGTGTCACCTATCAGTGCCAGTCAGTGCCTCCTATCAGTGCCAGTCAGTGCCGCCTATCAGTGTGCATCAGTGCCGCCTATCAGTGCCCATCAGTGCTGCCTATCAGTGCAGCCTAACTGTGCCAGTCAGTGCTACCTAACAGTGCCAGTCAGTGCCGCCTATCAGTGCCAGTCAGTGCCGCCTATCAGTGCCGCATATCAGTGCCATATATGAGTGCTTCCTTTCAGTGCCCATCAGTGATGCCTGTCAATGCCCATCAGTGCCACCTACCAGTGCCTCCTCATCAGTGCCCATCAGTGCCACCTATCAGTGTCCATCAGTGCAGCCTATCAGTGTCCATCACTGCAGCCTCATTAGCGCACATCAGTGAAGGAGAACAATCACAAAATTTTATAACAAAAACTAAGAAAAAACGTTTTTTTTCAAAATTTTCAGTGGTTTTTAGGTTGTTTAAGAAAAAATTAAAATCACAGAGGTGATTAAATACCACCAAAATAATCTCTATCTGTCACAAAAAAATGATAAAAATGTCATATGGGTACAGTGTTGCATGACCGCGCAATTGTCATTGAAAGTGTGACAGCGCTGAAAGCTGGAAATTGGCCTGGGCAGGGAGGGGGTATAAGTGCCTGGTAGGCTTGTGGTTAAAGGTATACAAGCTTATCATAATGTAAGATAATTGAAGTTCTGGTTACATTTATCTAAAGTAACTTGATTACCTGTCAAAATATTTTATGTCTATGGGGAGATTTTTTAGCACTGT